GATAAATGAATTTTATGGTTTTCACTACAGAACTTATAGATTGTTATTGATAGTTTATTAAATAAAATTCAGATTTATTCCTTCAAAATGTTTCCCTCAATGATACTTATCAACATTTTGAATTGTCTATCTTGATCACAGAAGATAATGTGATTCCTCAGAATTTAGATTCTTAGATCTGGAACCAAGAAAAATTCGAGAAAGAGATGTTAATTGAATAGTTTACAAAGTGACAACAGACTGTTAAACTCAGAATTCACCAAAGGGATGGACGAGATAACGGTAAATCGTTACATGAAACGCGTTAAAAAACAATCAGCCTTTTTTCACGTTAGAAAATTTCATTTTTCCCCCTGTGTGTGTGTATAGAAATACATATGGCATTTCGCTCGGTATGCTCCTTCCTTTAACGTCCTTACACGGGTACAATAATAGACGCGGGTGGTAGAAGACAATTGAAAGGTAGCTAGCCGCGGAGCAGCCCCGGATTTTTAGCTGCTCGTGTTATGCTCTCGCTTGAAAATATACAAAAGACTACCGGAGAACGCGGCAACCTTTGAACTGTCCTTGCCTATCACACCTTTTTTTTTATTATCTTTTTACATAGAGATAGCACTTTTTACAAGATTGTGAGCTGTCCCAAGAACGTGTGGCCACGTTTGATCCTTCACAGTTTTTCTTTTTTTTTTACAAATTCTAGCATATAATCTTAAACATAGTCTTATACATTTAACTGGCACGTTTCTTGGGAAAACTAACAAGTGCATCGAAATAGATAAGTGTTTTGTTTCTCTTCCATTTTTTCAATCTGTTTGTCTCTCTCTCTCTCTTTTACACACACACTTTCTCTCTCATTCTTCCTTTCTTTCCTCAAGTAGAATTATTTTACAATGTGAGTTGCTTGTTTCTGTTCGCTTGTCAGAAATTGGAAGGGATATTAACTAACTCTCTCGTAGAAAAATGAAAACACGCTTCACAAACGGCGCCGAGATTGGTTCACTTGCACACTTCTTATTTATTTATTTCTTTTTTTTTTCTTTATTCTTTTCTAATTGTTCAACTGGTTATTTGGTGACTTTTAGTGAAGAGATCTCGAGTATCAAAATTCTACAGTACACGAACTATGCCAATATTTCGACCAATCAAAGCATTGCTGCCGCCTGGACGTTGTGGTTTCACGATTTACAATTTGCCTGAACGTCTCCTTATACCGGTTTCTTGACAAACGAAAATAACTTAGAGTAAAAACATAGCGAGCAGATTTAAGTCCACTTGTAATTGATTGTTCAGCCTCTTCTGTTCGGTTCGTTTGTCTGATGTCGCATTTATTTAAATCCACCTTAGTCAGTTAAATTGATCAACAACATAAGAACCTAGAACTGCTCGTTACCCTCTTACTCCTATTCCAGTGCGTTCGAGCAGTTTGCGATTCAATGTTTGAATAAATAGATCTTTTTTACTCGTTTCTTTCTCGCTGATATTTGTTTTCCTTTTGAGAACAATTCGTTTGTTTGAAAATCATGAGCATACTCCATGATACCAACGAATCTAACGACACATCTAGCCTAAAACGCATCAATTCTCGCGTACATAAGCATGTATGTACCAAATATTTAAGTTACAATTAAACTACAAGCGAATAAAATCCTAATTAACAGGGCCATGTTGAGTTTATACAAAATACATAGAATAAACGTCCCTGTGTAAAACTGTTGTAAACTTTCATCTCAATGATTTTGAGTGTAAAGAAACACCTTCGTCTTTTGTTATCTCATTCCGTATAAATTCAACGTGGCCCGAAATTGGAGAACACTTTGGTCAAAAAAATTAAAAGTGAAATTTTCAAGCGACAAATGATCTGACAGTCGATCCACATCGGATTTAGGAACACAATAATTTATTTGTACACGAATAATCGAAAGTGAACACAAGAATTAAACGAGAGCATAGAAATGTTGAAATTAGGGAGCGATGTTCAATTGAATTTATGCTTTTTTTTGTTTTCTCATTTTCGATCGAGGAGAGGTTTCATCAAGGCGATTCCAGTTTACAAAATCTCGGACAACTCGGTTGCTTAATAAACCGATTGCTCGAGTTTTGAAGGGAGTTCAATGATTCGATTGCAAAAGTTTGGCACGGTCTGCTGTGTGTAAAAATATTATCGTAACTGCTCTCTGTTTGAACACTTCGCTTAATACACGCTTTGTTCTCGCCTCTCTTTCTCTCTCTCGCTTTTCCAGCGTACAGTATATTATCTTAAAATGTACAGCGACACTACATTGAGATAATAAACGCATAAAATATTCTTCATCTCTATAAACGCACTGTTATCCACGACGATCACCTGACTTTTTTTTGGAACCCTTTCAAACTTTCGGCTAAGTCGACTAATTATCCATACTCCTTTCTTCGACACAGAACACCATATCTATATCTTGCATCTTGGAAACAAATATCCAAAGAAATTTCTAACAGGCTTGACAAATTTCGTGTTAATGTGATTACTTTAATTACTTAACATTTTTGATACTTATGTACTTTACGTATGTACGAAGAGCATAGTGTAGGATCAAAGACGTATGATAAGTAGACTGTGAACGTCCGTGAAAATTTATGAATATAATTACAGAAGTATTAGAGACGTTCTTGATATTTTTTGGATTTTTAAATTTCTCACGAACAGATAAAAATCCTCAGTCTAGTGACATAGCGATGATATAGCGTGCTGTGTCGAATAAAATCGATGTACATGAAGAAAACTCGACAGAAATTTATTAAATCGATTTTCCCTGAGTGGTAATGTGCTATCCTGAACGCTTGGTGTCTTCGTGATTTATCACTAAGTCGTCTTATCATCGCGTTTATCGTACAAAGTAAGCCTAGAAGTTACTCTCGGTTTCCTTCGTCAATCTTCGATCATACGAAACTCGTCTTTCCGTAAAAATAATACTTTCCAATCAAGAACACAATGTGGTAATGCTTGAAAATCTCGTTTCCTACGGCAGAGCAAAAAATATTAACATACGAAAACTTATTAACTAGACGTTCTTCGAAAGGAAAAAAAAAAAATTTGTTAAAGTACACATATCTTTTTCAAATGGAAAAAGAAACCGCATTGGTAGCAACGCTATCATTTTATCAATTCATTAATTTAATTTTGGTGAACCGGGAGACAGAAAACTAGTCTCTCCATTATATAATTACATTCTAATTTTAATTAATTTAATTTCGTTCGTACAATCCTAGGTTTGAGCGAAAGTCTTCTGATCGAATCTTTTGCAGTTTAATTCCTTCAACAACGATTCTTTTTTCTCTCTTTTTTTGATTATATGTCTCGCAAAGATTGAAAATTCAATACTCCTGATTCTAGTCGAGTTAAATCGTGTGCTGCCATTAAGAAAGGCAAGATACAACCAAAAACGATCGCAAACGAACCCCTTATGCGAAAACGAAGCGCGCGTTTTGACATTCCGTCTACACATTTCTGTCAATTTCCATTTAACGTAATTTCATCTAACATTCGTAATTCAATCGACCGCTCTGAAAAAACCATTAAAAATCATTATACTATGAAGAACAATTGTTCGATCCGTTCCAAGGCCATTTTTCTTTTTATTGATGGAAGGCAGTGCTCGAATCATAAACATCTAAATATTACAGTATAGTTTTACATATATAAGATTAGAATATATATGTATATATTCTATATATATATATATATATATATATATATATATATATATATATATATATATATATATTATATATATTATATCTAT